AATTCCACTATAGGCCTTTCCTCAGCTCAGCCTTGAACTCTTGTCTGTCTTATCTATTTGTAAGGTCCAACAAAATTCTCTTTTCTCTATAAAAATTTCTATTTCCTGAAGAGATAATGTGGTGTGTTTTTTCAACTTTGAAGTATTACCATTACCCCTGCTCTTCTACGTATTATGGACATTTGGAAATATATACATACATGCATATTTATACATATATATAGTATATATTATATCTGCTAGATTATAAAGTTTTGAGGACTAAAATTTCTTATTGTTTTGTATCTTCTGTAGTACAAACCTTAATATCCTGACTTCAGTAGAAATTCTATAGTTGTTATCTCCCCTAAATAATTCTAGCACAACTCAAATTAAAACCTGGTTTCTGACCTAAAATAGTACATTTCATATGACAAATCATGACCTCTCTGACAGTATTGTAGTATTAAGTATACAAAGTGAATATTATTGAGGAAATTCTATGGATACCATGTGGAATTATGTGGAGGAAACCTCTTAGGTGTCATTAAACAGAACAGTGAAACATTAAATGGAATATTTATGCAGAAACATCTAGAGATAGTTCAAAAGTAGATTGTAAATAAAGAGAAGCAACATCTTGCCCAAGATTATTACTATAGCTATTGCTCCTTGAAAGTGTTGAAAGGCTCAAGGGAATGCTCTAGACATGGAAATGTTGTGTATATAAAGAAGTGAAGAAGACTTGGATCTTCTGAGAGTATGTGCTACATGGGAAGACTTCATGAATATGCCACTGAGTGAGATGAGGATGGTTAGAAGAAAAATCAGTGCTGGTGGTAAGGGTCAAGGTGCACAGATTATTATATTTTTAATTGAGGTAGAGGTGGTTTCCTATGCTATGTCACAAACAGATGTTTATATAAAAATTGTTGACATTATTTCAAATAGCTCTTGCTTCCTTCCCACCTTCATTTCCACTGCCATTATGAAAATTCAGCTCTAAATGATTGCTGAAATAGTCACCTAAGTTTTTCCTAATTCTGGTTTCTTATATGGTACATCTTTAATACCTTGTAGATGACTCTCGCTTTAGTACCTATTTCATTAAGTGATTTATTTCCACAAACTCTCCAAATGCTTCATAAAACATAGGCACTTCTATCTGTTGTTTTTTGGGGGGGCGGAGGAGGGTTTGTCCCATTATTCTATTTTAAGAATATTTCATATGTTTATGTTTTTCAAACTCTTCCTCCCTTGTCCTCTCTTCCACCATACTTTTCCCTCCCCTTCCTTCCTCTATTATAAATTCTCTCCTTTTCTGTTTTCTTACTGCTCTTATCTGGTCATAAGGCGGCTACAGCATTAGCAACCAAGTCTGTCTGCCTGACTTCCAGTCCCATCTGCACCATTTCACCAGGGCAAGCTACTTAACTTTTCAGTGTCTCAGTTGTTTTCATGATGAAATGAGCATGCTAATAATACTTAACTCTCCTAACAGTTGTTGAGAGTATCAGGTGAGAGAGGACATAAGCGTATGGCATAGAGTAAAACATTAATAAAGGTTAGTGTCTTTTTATTACGACACTGTTATTTCTCTCCGAACCCTTTCATTTTGAATAATATGCACACATTGCCTTGGCTTGTTGGTGAGTGTTTCATGTGTGTTGTTATATCCCCAAGTATATTACAGGTCCTTGAGTACAGGGTCCACATTTCATACTCTGTTTCCATTATAGCAAATGCATAAGGAGTGCTCAATAAACACCAACAGGCTGCGTAACGTTTGGAAGTAAAACTGTGGACTGGGCATCCATAACGAAGGTGTTATGGATGTTACTCATAGACAATAACTAAAGGAAGAAAGTAGAAAATACAATAAAAGTGGCTACAATAAAATCAGCAAAACAGTCTCGTTTTGTTTTAAACATATATATACAACTTTTCCTTGAGGCAGGTAGAGGAACAGACATATTCCTGGTATAAAAACGCAAGACCATTTTCATACCTTCTGAATAACGTCTCTTGGATTTTGTTTTTCACATGAGGCCCTTTTCAATAAGTTGGAGTATGGACATGGGACCACTGAGGAGTAAACCAAATATAAGGCAGGGAAATTAAGGTCAGGTTCACGGTGCCCCAGTTCTCTGTGTCATTTTGCCGCTCCACCTCCCATTCATATTGAAAACTGTGGCCTGTGATCTCACTGCTCTGAAGCATCATAAATACAATCACAAACTCTTCCATTTTGTGGGAATGTCTTTGGATCTTTACTACTTTTAACCTGTATTTCCAAAAACTTAAAATGCTCGTATGTTCAAAAGACAAAATGAAGACAGTTTATGAAAATGTAAATATTTAATGTGCTTTATACAAATGAGAGCCCTTGGAATTGTCAAGGATGAATCCACTGTCACTATACGTAGGTCTAGCAAAAAACGATACTCACCATGAAATATGTCAATTCTTAAAACAAAAGTCTTGCCAACACAGAAGAATATATTTAGTTATATGTTGAAAATCTATTTTGTGCCAAGTGTTTCACATGTGATAAAAATTTAATTATTGAAATAGTGTATTGAATAAGTGTCAGCACTCTTATTTTGAAGATAAGGGCTAGGGTTCAGAGAGATTACATAACTTTGCCATGGTTTAAAGAGCCATCAAATGGTAGGGGCTGACGTCAAAGAATATACCTCTTCTTTCAGTTGCACAAAATCCCAGAATCATCACTACAGCCATGAGCCACTTAACAATGGTGCTGAATTTCTGAGCAATGTGTCCTTAGGCAATTTCATCATTGTATGAACATCACAGAGTGTATTTGCACTCTGTGCGGATGACATAGCCTCCTACACACCTAGGCTGCATGGCCTAGCCTATTGTTCCAGGCTACAAGGCTGCACAGCATGTTGCTGTACAAAACAACAGGAGATTAAATCAAACACAAGAGAAAATGGTGCAACCACAAGGCCTGGTAAATGTGAGATGTATGAGGCTGCTGTGGACATAACAGGGCATACTGGCTATTTCTTAAATTTATTGGGGTGACTGTTTTACAGCAAACTTTCTTATAAGTAGAAAAAGTACACTGTAATGATTAAAAGTATAGTAAATACATCAAGCAGTAACAGTCATTTATTATCATTACTGTACACAATTGTCTACGCTATGCTTTGATAGGACTGGCAGGGCAGTAGGTTTGCTCACACCAGCGTCACCACAAACGCATGAGGAACTTTTGGGTTATGACATTATGTTACGACGACTATCGCGTCACTAGTTAGTAGGACTTTCTCAGCTCCATGATAATTTGATGGGACCATGCTCATACAGGCAGTTTGTCATTTAAGTCTTGTAATATTGTGCATGATTATAATTGGCTTTGTGATTTTAAGCAACTTATTCAATTCCGTTGTTTAGTGTTTGTTTCACTGGTTGGTTGGTTTTTGTATCTTATCCCATAAAGACAATATAATAATTGTTCCTACTCAAACTCTAGATACACATAGCTTGTATCTGAATCTCAGAACTTGTGGTTATTATATGAATGACTATGAATGAAATACTTAAACTCTCTCTATTCCTCAGTTTCCTCATTTATTAAATGAGGATATTAATAATATACAGACTGATGAATCTCAGAGGGAATATGGGGGTGGGTGGGTAGGGAGAGGTTAACCAAAGAATTTATANTAGGCTAGCATGTTACCTTACAGGTTCTGCTGGGAGAACAGGAAATCAGGGCTTTAAATGTGAAAGGCCTCTGAGACATCCATGGGGAGATGCCCAGCAGGAGTCAGAGCTACATGAGTCAGAAAAAGATTCAGAGATCTTGTCAGCAGTGTTTGCGTGTAGGAGTTTGTTAGAGCCATGGGCTGGATGAGAGAACAGAGGGAGGGAGGGAGTGCAGGAGATGAAGAGCAAGGCCTGGGGACTGAGACCAGGCACCCTCCAGGGACCAAGAACTTAGGGAGAAACCAGCAAAGTAGATGAGAAGAAGCTGTGACTGAGGTAAGACAAGAACAAAGAGAGAGTGGTGAAGAAAGAATGTTGAGAAGACAGAATAAGACAGATTAACCAAATATGCGTAACCTATGGAAACAGGCAATAGTGCACTGAAGGCCTGGAGAAGGGGCAGGAGTGGGGTGGAGGGGGTCAGTGGAGGAAAAAAAGGGGACGTCTGTAATATTTAACAACAATAAAGAAATTAAAAAAATAAAAATAAATAATATACTACTTCATGAAAGTGTGTGAGAATCAAAGATTTAATATATTTAAAATCCTTAAAACAGTTTTTGGAACACAGTAAGAATTTTAGAAGCATAAGTTATGATTATCTATAAAATGTAAACAATAATGCCTATTTTCATTTAACTCAGAATCGTGGAGAGAAAAATGAGTGAGCTAGTGGTTGCAAATGCTCCTCATGTAATAGAAAATGTTTTATTAATTTAAGATATGATTATATGTGTAGCTTACATTTATATGCCAGTGGTGAATGATATAAATTTGATTGGATATGCATTTAAGTACAGATAACATGTAAGTACTAAACTGGGAATGTTCAATATAGCTCTTTTAAATAAATATTTAAGAAACTTTAAAATTGACTGCCTTGAAGCTGGGTAATATAGAAATTATTTCCTAGCTTTGAAAAATAAATTTTATAATAAATTATGTTCAACTTTTCTGATGCAAGACCAGGAATGAAGATACTAAAATGTAAAGACATCCACATATGTTTCTCCTAATACTTTTAAAAATTCCTCCTTAAGGTTTTTTAGGATGTTTTTTATTGCTTACACACATTTAAGATTTTATTCGTACATGTGTGTATTGTTGTATATACAAACTCCTCTCCTCACACATCATTTAGGCCATCTGATGAATTGTGGGGGTGAGTCACGTGACCCCGAGTTGGAAATAATTTCCTTTAACAAGGACCGCGGGGTAGCTAATGGCTTGCAGGGCAGGCATTGACTCCAGCTGTAGGCAGCGCTTCGTGTTGCCTGGGATGCAAGCAGATAAAATATGTTTAGATTTCCCAAAGCACTTTCTTTGAATTCATGACCATCTGTCTGAAAGGTAAGAGCACTTCCAGCTTAGACATACACACTTACTCTGTGTTTGTTTTTAGATTTACGAGTGTATAGGTACAGCCTAATCAACCTGAAATCCAAACTGGTAGTCGCGGACTCTGAGAGAGAGGGGGGGAGAGTCGTGTGATAATCTGTGTGTCTTGCAGGGGGTAGAGTGCCGGGAGGGTGTCAGTACAGAGGAGAATTAAATCGGAGACTGCCTAATTCAGAATTTCCCATACCTGGGTCCGTGGTGTCTGTGACCACCAACAGAGTTTCCTCCGCCAAAGCCGTCTGGCTTCAACGTGTCTGCTGTGCATTCGAGCTGACCTGAGAGCTCTGGTAAAGAGATTTATCTGCTCAACACCGCAGAGACGGCCAGATTCAACATACATCAGTTTAAGGATGTAGCAGCACCTTCTGCCAGCAGTAGGTTATTTGATTTCTTTTCCTTTTAGCCTTTTCTTTTGACATGTTCCAAGAATATTGATTACCTGCCTTGAAAATTCCTTCTTTCCACGGAGAAATTTATTGTTTCCCTCCCACCAGTGATCATATACATTTAATGGAGATTTTTTAATAAGAATGTACACTAGAGCTGTAGGCTTGAATAAGATTAATTTTCTCAAGGAATCAATCACGGTTGTCAGCCTTTTTACTTAAAATATCAATAATAATAAACCTAATATTATTTGTTGAAGAGGTGTGAGCAGAGTGAGGAAATTAAGGTAATGGAGCCCATGCTATGTGCCAGGTAATTTGTTAGTGACTCTACATATTCATTTTTTAAAGTTATTCTCTCTACAATCTTTGGAAATGAGAAAAATAATATGATGAGGGTTCAGGCTTCCTTGTTTAAAGTTCTGCCTGATGTAAAAATGTACATATCTTTTTGCTTGTTTTTTATTTCTTTGTAATGAACATTTTCTTTTAAAATATTTCTAGGTTTACAGTAACTTTGCAAGTACATTTACCACAACAAATGAATCAATATTATAATATTGTTATGAAAAAAAAAATAAACTCTTTAGATTTCTTAGTTTTTAACCTAACGTCCCTTTTCTGTACCAGAATCCCACCCAGGACACCACAGTGCAGTTAGTCATCATGTCTCCTTAGGGTTCCTAGAGTGTGACCATTTCTAGGACGCTCTGTTTTCTTTCTTTCTTTCTTTTTTTTTTTTTAATATGTTTTTGTTAATTTCAGAGAGAGGAAGGGAGAAGGAGAGAGACATGGAAACATCAATGATGAGAGAGAGTCATTCATTGGCTGCACCCCCCTACTGGGGATCGAGCCCCAAACCCAGGCACGTGCCCTGACCAGAATCAAACCTCGATCTCTTGGTTCATGGGTCGACACTCAACCACTGAGCCAGGCCAGCCGGGCATACGATGTTCTCTTCATCATGACCTTGGCAGTTTTGAGGCATGCTGATCCAGTGTTTTTGTAGAATGCTCATCAGTTGGAGTTTGTCTGTGTTTCACTCAAGATTAGACTGAGATTCCGAGTTTTGGAGAGGAAGACAATGGAGGTAAAGGGCGTAATTCATCACATCATATCAGGGTACATAGATTAGTGTGGCTTATCATTACCGAGGTTGTCCTTGATCAACTCGCCCAATAGGTAGTATGTTTCAAGTTTCTTTTCCCTCTCTTTCCAGACTATACTATTGGAAGGAAGTCTCAATAAACAGCCCACATTTGAGGAATGAAGAGTTACCCTCCCCAGGCTCTTGAGGGGTGTGATGGTAAGTTTTATGTATCAACTTGGCTTGACCATAGTGCCCACATAGTTGGTCAAACATTATTATGGCTATTTCAGTGAAGGTGTTTTTTGGATAAGATTAACATTTAGCTTGCTGTACTTTAAGTAAAGCGGATCGCTTTCCATAATGTGGGTGGGCCTCATTCAAAGACTGACTTACCCTGAGCAAGAAGGAATTCTGCCAGCAAACTGTCTTTGGACTTAACTGAAGCTCTTCTCTAAGTCTTCAGCCTGCCAGCCTATCCTCCCTGCAGATTTTGGAATGAGAGTCTCCATTAGAGCATAAAACAATATCAATAAATCTCTCTCTCTCTCTCTCTCTCTCAACACACACACACACACAATTTTGTTGGCTCTGTTTTCTGTTTCTCTGAAAGAGACTCCTTGACTGATACAAGGGGGCACTATCTATGTAAATTATCTGGAATTCTTCTTCATAGGAAATGTATCTAGTTTCCCCGCTTTAGATACTTATGAAATCATTTATGTATATCAATGTGAACTCATGAATTATTTATTTTATACTTTGGGTTATAACCCAATAGTTCTTTATTTTGCTGCTCAAACTGTTCAAACTTTGGCCACTGGGAGCTGTCTCATTTGTTCCTGTGTCCCTTTAGCATACACTGATCACTGGGTGTGTGGTGCATGTGCATGTTCTGTTTGTTTCAGCATTTCCTTACTTTCTAACACTACAAGATGTAACAGGCTCATCTCTATATTCCCTGTCCCAGATCTGGTGTCAACAGTTAATGCATGCACTCTTAAGCACAATACACTGACTAGATTGATATTGGGGAAAGGGAGATTTATATATATGTATATGTGTGTATATATATATAGAGAGAGATCTTATATATAATTATATACTTATAACTATATGTATTAGCTAACCTGAAATACATGTAATTTGAACTATTGTCAATAATACTTGCCTTGTGGATTTGAGGAGAACACTGTACTAGGCACTATGAGATAATGCAATTTAATTAGTATGTATTATCTCATTTAATTTATAAGCAGACATGGAAAATTGGAGAAATATTTATTAGTCAATATTTATGCCAAGTTATGTTATAGGAAATTGATACATAAGTCAGGAGGCTGGAGCTGGAATTGAAGCCATGGTCAAGTGTAACAAAAACATTAGATGAGAAAGTCCTGAAAACATGTGCAGTGCAATTGGTAAGGCGTTGAGAAATGTCACACAGCCCTGGGCCTTTGGCATTTTGGACTTTCAGTAGACATCAGTTGAATCAATGGTCATGCACTGGCACAATTGAGGAGAAAATGTTCTCTACACTGAAGGAATGACATTGTACAAGGGGCATTCTAATTGGAAAAAGAAAATAAAGATGGTGGGGTAGTTAGCAAATTAATTCGGCTTAGGAAGGGTACCATATCGATGCTAAAAAGGAATCAAGAGCTAACAATGCAGTGGGAGAATGAGACCGCGGGCTGTAGCACTGGCGAGAGCCGGACAAGAAGTTCAGATTTATAGAGGAGCGGCTGCGTGGTGTTTAGAAGCAGGGGACAGTGTGGCAGCTTGAGTATAATTTATACATACCTAGAGGATTGCTGAGAGGCTGCCCCTGCCAGAAGTCTTTTTCCATATGACACTGAAAAACCTTCTTAGAAGAACAAATCTAAATGAAATAATAGATGAAAAACCCAGGAAGAAAGGTGTAGTTCTCTCCCAAGGGTAGGCTAGTGTTGTGATGGCTAAAACTGGAATTTGGTTCCCAGCCACTTTCTCTTTGGTCTCAAATCTTTGGATTCCTTTTTAAGAACTACAGGGAGTATTTTCTTCTTTGAGGGGGTGGCAAGGGGAGGAGGGGAGGAGGAGGGAGTGAAACAGACTTGATTAACTGGGTGACCATGTAATTTCTCATCTCAACTATGCTACTTTGCGAGTAAAACAAACAGCTGTTGATAATTATGCAGACACAACGAGAGCAAACAGGATTATAGGTAACTTTTGGTAAATCATTGCAAAAGTTCTAACAAAGCACAAAGTGGAGGAAGAGACGCTCCCTTTGTCCACCAGCCCAACACTGCTTGGGCCTGGAGGAAAGACTGAGAGGCCTCAGTGCCTTGCGAGCAAGAGCAGGACGTCAGTCGTACAGACCCTGGGCTGTCGGGACAGGCTTGTGGGCAGAAGTATCATAAACAAATAGTAGGCACTTTAGGAAATTTCTAGAGATTGTAGAAGTTGGGGTTGAGGGTTAGAGGTTCTTTATTAATGCATCAGGGAACCAACCACCAGTACAATTTGAATTATTAATCATCTATACCTACCATTTTGAGGTCAGTAGATACTTACATGATGAACTTCCCTAAAATCTGCCTCATTCCAAACTCCATTTCCAATCACGCTGCCCACAGAATAAGGGCTAATGTGTTTATTAGCTACTGTGATATTCATATAATTTGACTGTTATTCAACAGGAGGTTGGGGGTAATTCTGATATGAGGGGTCATGAAGAGAATAAAGTAGTTGAGAAAGAGAATTTTACCACCCAGATGAGAAAATATGCGTATGACAGCTATACAGGACCTAGTATTGTCGTGAAAGACAGTAAGAATGCTATGAAAAAATTCAAATTATGAATTTGAAAGAAAACAAATTGGAAGAACTAAAAATTGGATCTATGAAGTAGAAATATAATAATAATGTCCTTCATTTTTCAAAGCCTGAAAGACTCAACATTCATTTAAAACATCGTTTTGTTCATTCTGTGAGCATTTTAGCTTCTGAGCTTGAGAATATCATTGTCATTGTTACCAACAGCCTACTGAAAATAGGATGACTAAAATAGTTTCCCTCTGAATAATGCTTAGCACCAAGCCTTTTTCATGTTATGTAACTCTCTACAACTAGATGATAAAAGTGTCTTCCTCAAATACTCCATTGATTGTCCAAAGTCAGAATCTAACTTCTCTTCAATGACAACATATATGGATAGTATATAGTGTATATATAATTATACTTGTACATATATATGTGTAAATACAACATATATGTGCATAACTTGAAATATATATTAATTTTAAACACTCTTTTCCACTGTATTTCAGTTGATGGTACAAAAAAGGTCACTTGTTTTTAACCAGGGTCCCCATTTACTCCTATATTACAAGTGATATCAAGTTGTCTTTCCCTTAAATCACATTCTAGTTTAGGCTTTATGAATATTTTAAGTAAAATCAATGGGATTTCTAAATTCCCAACAAATATTTTTGAATACATTCTAACTGCCATAATTATCTCTATGAAATAGTATTTATTTTATTTATAATAATTTGGAAACTTGGTAATTTAATAGAATATTTGAGAGAAGTAACATGAAAGATGGAGAACTATTAGTGTAGTTGATATTTATGCTTATACCTTCTAATACCAGAAAAACAGAAGTATATTAGTTATTATTTATATATTTATATATATATATTATTTATTATTTCTACTAAGCATTTATATATTTTTAGATTATTTATTTATATTATTTATATAGCATTTATTTATGTAATCACATGTGGTTATAAAAATTGTCTGCATATAGATTCACTGGATATTGACTTAACAAGGCACGTATTTTCTCTGACTTGTTTCAATTACAAAACATTTCAAATAAAATAAAATTCCATTTTGGATTAGCTCGAAAAAAAATGTTAAGAAACTTTTGAAAAATTACCATTACAATTGAAAGAACAAAAACAATTTTACTGGTACCCTTTTCCCTAATAGTAGAATCATCTTATTGGCTCATACCCAAGCATTATTTCCTAGAGGCTGACATAAGATCTAGTTTTAAGTCTCAATTTGACAAGAGACTGAGGAGAGAAAATAACACAGCTAAGCGATTTTGATGACAATTTCTTACAACCAACACAAACAGGCATCAGAATCTAAAAATAATTAATTTTATACTACCGGCTCAAAAATAAGTCAAAGGAGTGCAAAAATTAGACTTAAAAATAGTATTCTGTTCTATTTTGATTTGATAGGCAGTGACTCTAAACCCTTGGTGCAAATTATACTTATCTGGAGAAATTTGAAAGAATTTCCAATATCTGGGCCCACCATAGCCAGAACAGAAAGAATCTCTTGGGATTTGGGGGTAATACATTAATTCTTTCTGGGTTTTGTTTTTGTTTTGTTTTCTTTGTTTTTTTGAAGCTGCATAAGAGATTTTTCAGGCAGCCAGGACTGAAACAACTGAAACAACTAAAACAATGGAAGTGGTGTCACAACTTTGATATTAGGGCTCGAAGTCAGTTCCTGGGTAATTCCTTTTCATTCTTAAATTCTCAGTTGAGCTGGAACCTCTGGAGAGTTTCCTCAGCTCACCCCCTACAGCATCAGGGTTCATCTCTATTTAATGTGCTTGATCTCAATAATGTGTCAGATTGCCTGTCTGCAGCCTAAGTGACTGTGTTTCTTGAAGGCAAGGAGACATTAGTTTTTCTCTCTTTGAGTCAACTACCTTGTAGTACAAAGTATGGCAAAAACAAAAACTAGATTTTGAGGTAATGCGTGCATGAAAGACTGGCATGAAAATGCATAATTCTAGAGCTCTTCCTTCAGTACAGCTGGCCATCACACTTGTAATCATGGAGTCTGTAAGTTGCTTCCTTACAGATTTAATGCAACTAGAAAACTAAGTGCAATAGGAAGTAAGTAAAGAATAATAGATATGCGATTCACTTAAGAGTGGCCTACTTAATAAATTGAGTGAATAGGAATATTTAGATTACTTATTCTTAGCAGTTCTATGAACTGCTTTTCAGAGTTTCAAAAATAGAATTTCTCACCTGGCTGGGCGTGGCTCAGCGGTTGAACATTATTGACCTAGGATCTGGGAGATCGAGATTCGATTCCCGATCAGGGCACATGCCCCGGTTTGCAGGCTCCATCCCCAATCGGGGGCATGCAGGAGGCAGCCAATCAATGACTCTCATCATTGATGATTCTATCTCTCT